GTCCCGGGGATCTGGCTTCCCATGAGGATGCTGCTCTAGGTCCCAGGGATCTGGCTTCCCATGAGGATGCTGCTCTAGGTCCCAGGGATCTGGCTTCCCATGAGGATGCTGCTCTAGGTCCCAGGGATCTGGCTGTCCGTGGGAATGCTGCTCTAGGTCCCAGGGACCTGGCTGTCCATGGGAATGCTGCTATAGGTCCCAGGGATCTGGCTTCCCATGAGGATGCTGCTCTAGGTCCCAGGGATCTGGCTTCCCATGAGGATGCTACTATAGGTCCCAGGTATCTGGCTGCCCATGGGAATGCTGCTCTAGGTCCCGGGGATCTGGCTGTCCATGGGAATGCTGCTCTAGGTCCCAGGGATCTGGCTGTCCATGGGAATGCTGCTCTAGGTCCCAGGGATCTGGCTGTCCATGGGAATGCTGCTCTAGGTCCCAGGGATCTGGCTGTCCATGGGAATGCTGCTCTAGGTCCCAGGGATCTGGCTGTCCATGGGAATGCTGCTCTAGGTCCCAGGGATCTGGCTGTCCATGGGAATGCTGCTCTAGGTCCCAGGGATCTGGCTGTCCATGGGAATGCTGCTCTAGGTCCCAGGGATCTGGCTGTCCATGGGAATGCTGCTCTAGGTCCCAGGGATCTGGCTGTCCATGGGAATGCTGCTCTAGGTCCCAGGGATCTGGCTGTCCATGGGAATGCTGCTCTAGGTCCCAGGGATCTGGCTGTCCATGGGAATGCTGCTCTAGGTCCCAGGGATCTGGCTGTCCATGGGAATGCTGCTCTAGGTCCCAGGGATCTGGCTGTCCATGGGAATGCTGCTCTAGGTCCCAGGGATCTGGCTGTCCATGGGAATGCTGCTCTAGGTCCCAGGGATCTGGCTGTCCATGGGAATGCTGCTCTAGGTCCCAGGGATCTGGCTGTCCATGGGAATGCTGCTCTAGGTCCCAGGGATCTGGCTGTCCATGGGAATGCTGCTCTAGGTCCCGGGGACCTGGCTGCCCATAGGGATGCTGCTCTAGGTCCCGGGGACCTGGCTGTCCATGGGGAATGCTTCTATAGGTCCTGGGGACCTGGTTGTCCATGGAGATGCTGCTCTAGGTTCCAGGGGCTGGCTGCCCATGAGGATGTTGCTCTAGGTCCCGGGGACTTGGCTGCCAAGAGTATGCTGCTCTAGGTCCTGGGGATCTGGCTGTCCATGGGGATGCTGCTATAGATCCTGGGGACCTGGCTGGCCCTGGGGCTGGCAGTGTGCCACGATGAGGTGCAATCTTTGAAGCTGTTTGTGAAGAATTTGAGGTTGACGCTGGGCTCTGGAGTGGGTGCTGCAATCACAGTGCAGGCAGACATCAAAGAGAAGCGCTAACAAATTCCCTGTTATCTCTGCCCATTGACAGCTCAATTAGAGCCAGAAAATGCCAAGCAGGAGAAAACAGACACTCTCCTGAGAGGTGACGGAGGGGGTGCTTGCAGCTGGGGATGGGGGTGGGAGGGGGGATGTGGGGGCTGGGCACAGGGCCCATGTCAGGCATGACAGCAGCCAGCCCTTCCCTCAACACCTGAGCTGTGCTGAAGGCAACGGGGGCCATGCCAACACTTCTGCTTGTGCGGCTAACACCACATGGCTGCCTCCCTGCTGCCCAGGAGGCCTCCGACAAAATAGGAAGAGATTCGGCTGACTGCTGCTCCCTGCCCTGAGCAACAGCACATGCACTGGCCTATGTAAACAGGAGCAGAGCCATTGGGTGGTGTGGGGTGCCCCAAGCTAGGGGTGCAGGAGGAGCAGAGCTGGCAGAGACCTGCAGGCTAGCAAGCAGCCTTTGCACCCTGGAGTGGAATTGGTTTTGACACTAAGGGGCCAAGGGACCCAGGTTGGAGGCTTCATTCCCCTGCAGGCCATGTCTGCCCCACAAACACAAAACTACAGATCCCACTGCTTTGGAGGAAGACCTGCTGCACCAAGGCTCCAAAGCGGCTCCACCTCCCTCCAACCCTGACAGCCCAGGGCAGTGGGACACACTCTGCCCAGACAGTGCCATAAAGCCAAAAGCCCCCGCCCCCTTGCCTGGGGTGTATTCTCACATGTACACACATACAGAGGCGCATGCGTGGGCGTGCACACAGACACATGTATACAGACACCCACTCATGCACAGGCACCCACCATTGTGCACACACATGCACACACTCACTCTCACACGCCCATACATGTCCCAAGATGCCCCAAGGTCAGGTCCTGCTTCCCAGCTCCTTCCTGTGCTGAGTGTGTCACCACCACGTCACAGCTCACCTCCCCGCCTGGCAGCGTGGCCGTGCCAGTTGCTATGGCAATGTTTCGCCTGTGAAGAGATGAGGTGGTTCTCCTGCACTGTGGCAAAGGGGCCACACAGTGGACCGGGAGCCCAGCTGTCGCTGCCACCCCAGGGCAGCTCCCCCAGGCTCTCTCTGCACGACCATCGGCTGCATCCTGCCATGCTGCCCCAGGAGGGGTCCCTGCACTGCTCAGCACAGGGCCATCAGCAGTTCCCAATGGAGCTGCCATTCAGCCAGGTGAGAAAGGAAAGAGCAAAGGAAG